TTCTATTTAAATTGTGAACATGTTCTTTTTGTTTACATTTTAAAACAAAGAAGAAAAAAATTTCGCGGATTTTTAAAAAAAAATTCTCGGATTTTCAAGAATTTATTTTTTTTACAAAATTAAAAACCTTTAAAACCCATTTTTAAATTTTTTTTATCATTCGTAAACCTTCCCTGTGGTCACGTGATGTCCCACAAAAAATTTGGGCCCGATCGGTTCAGCCGTTTTGACGTTTATTGGATACAAACAAACAGACAGACAAGCCAAATTTATATATAAATTAAACAACAATAAACAACATTATTAAAGATCTCATAAAACCTGGAATAACATGAAGTTTTTAAGTAAAGTATCCACATAAAATAGCACAAACATAAAAACATCTAAACATCACATTTAAACATTTAAACATCACATTGAAGAAATATACTCTGCTTAAATTGTGATTATATCTCATCCGTCATAAATTTGAAGAAAAGCATTTATTTTATTACTGTTCATTTACAAAGACACTTCTATATTCTTTTATGTTTGCAACCTTGAGGCGTAAACCTTTGATATTTCAAACTTATCATTTTATCTAACAGAATTCAAAGTTGTTAAATCCAAGGTCTATACGGCATAGAGATTAGAAAATCAGAGTTTGTGGCAAAGTCTCAATTCCTTTCATGATTTTCCATTATGATGATTGATGAGGCACTTTTTATGATAACTCGGAGAAGCAGGATAGGAAGGTTTAGCAGAGATGAATCCCACCTACTCTTCATCTTACCCGGAGAAGGAAGGCTAGGAAGGTTTAGCAGTGAGATTGAACCCGCCTCCTATTCCCCCACCCGAAGAAGGGATAGGAAAATGGAACCAATTCCACCTACCAAGAGAAGAATCAGCAGATATGGAACCCGCCTCCTCTCCCGCCTACTCGGAGAAGGAAGGCTAAAAAAGATTAGCGGAGATAGAAACATCCTTCTCTTCCCCCTTCCCGGAGTAGGGATAGAAAGGTTTAGCAGAGATGGAACCCACCTCCTCTTCCTCCTACCCGGAGAAGGGAGGATAGAAAGGATGCGTATGTTGCTGATCCTGTAACTGCTCCTGGAGAAGCAGGGTTCTTTCGTTCCGTCCTAAACAAAACTAATGAATAAGTAATAATTAGGGATCACATCAACGTAAAATTAAAAACTGAAATAAATAAGTGAAAGAAAGATTAAATAAATGGATAGGTAAATGAAGGGATGAAAGAGTTCAAAGTAATCCGAAGGTTGCAAAATCGATGAACATGATCACAATTATTTCTTAAAAACAGAGCGAAAACAAGTGCTTTGTGGTTCTAAAATGTACATGTCTAGAGCTACAAAATAGTAGAAGTGAGTTAGTTATGTAAAATAAAAAGTCGCGGCGTTGCGACACTTCAAAATTGACCAGGTCTCGAAGAATAACTTTTTCAGGAAGAATGGATGGGTAATTAAATGAATAAATGAACCTGACAGTAAACTGTCCTCCAGCAGGGCCTCGAGGTCCTTGAACCTCGACCTCGATGATATGCCAATCCTTCAGGCTGGGATCAGATACTATAAATACAAGACGACATTTATTTTATATCTGACTTGCTTGGGAACCTATAGCGTTGTCTGCAAGTTAACTTTTCCCCATAAAACTCAAGTTAAAAGTTCCCCTACTCAAATTTAAAGCAAATCGATCACGGGTTAATTAAATGAGTTATGATCGGACATACACTCAAAGATTACTACAAATACAAGACTGCAAAATTTGCCAAAAATGCGCGATAATTTGCTTTCCGTGGAATCCTGTGAAAAATATAAAGAATCCGCGATATGTGTAAAACCGCTATTATTTATAAGCAGAAATTGTACACTAAACAGATTAGCTCTCTAAGTATGAATCACGATCTTTATAAATATATTCTATAATCTACTCTAAATAAAGCTTTCACAAGAAGTATACGTTTTAACGTAAATTATAGTTCTCTTTTAAATAATGTAAATGATATATAAAATTTAGATAACTATAAGAAACCTTTTTAAAAAAACCTTTTATCTTAATAATTTTGTTTCCACCATAGACAAAGATAGACTCTCAGGAAAAATATCACGAAATCTCGATACCAAGAGCAAGTTCATACAGTTACAGTACACAGTACACAGTACACTTACTGCAGGGTCTGTACGTGCACAAACAACCCCGATTTTTCTAAAATTGTACAATTTTAACCCAGCTTGTCTGTTGTACTCAGTATACTGAACCTCTATCAATATCTACAATGTAGTTTACACCTACCCAGACAGCCAATTGTTTTGTCGAATCCAAGATTAGTTGCAGCCACAGCTCCTGCCGCCATTGTGTTTACGTTGTTTGGCGCTAGAGGGCAGAGTTCCCGTACCGGACCGCGGTACAACTCTACACTTTCATCTGTACATAACATCGCTGTAGGCTAGGAATATAACAGGAAGTCCCATGAAATAAAGTGTACTGCAGTTTCTGGGAGGAATGTAAACACACACAGTGAGTCCATGCAGACTTAGCATTGTTTACATTCGTCCCAGAAACTGCAGTACACATTATTTTATGGAAGCTTCCCTTACATTCCTTAACTGCTCAAACAAAATTATAAGCAATCTTGCTCTTATAGTTGATATTTACATATTTGTTTGTGAGAAAATTAAATATTAAACACGGTTGCAGTAAACTGAATTATTAAGAGGTTCTTTGCCCAAAACTTAAGGCAGAGTATTGTAATGAAACCCAGTATGGGAAACCTGGTTTTATAAATGGGGTCAGACAGTTTCGTAGATTCCAATATTTTTGTATAGAAATGTGGCCGTTCTTTACATGCTCTTAATGTTTTCTGATTTCTTATATTAAAATCTACGCAAATGTATAGACCCCAAAAAGAACACTTGTAAGCTTCGTTCAACTATGTACTCTCTTAAATTGCCGGCTCTGGTGTACATATTTCTATAATTGGAGGGTTTATGTTACAAAATAAATCAGAGATGTGAATTTTTTAACACTCTTCTCGTGATCGATCCAATGCTTAAATCAAAATCAATTTGAATGAAAACTACCAAACAATCTAACCTTTTACAGCAGAATTCTTTTCTGCCAGAAACCCATTTAGTTTAAAGCTGGAGGGATGCTTTTTCATTGTAATTATTAATCCTTCAAGAGTTCCTAGTTCAGCCATTTTCCTAGATATTTAATCATATTAATCCTTTAATGTGTGAAGCTTATA